TGCAGCTGAGAGGAAAAAGAGATTAGTTGTTCTCATCAAGCTTTACTCAAACCACAGATTTAGGAAGAAAATTGTTTTCATGACAACTATCCATGGTTAATTATTAAGGTAAAGTGATATGAAAATGGTCTTTTAAAAAGACAGTAAGAAACAGGGATTACCACAGTAGAAATTAGTCTTCTCTAAAGGAGAGTGTAGTCAGTTATTGAAGTAATGTATTAAACAGTGACAACTACAAAAAAGATATTTGAATTATTGAGGAAGACAAGACATTAGTCTTTACTTGGTTGTAAATTGCTACAACTAGGCAATTTTGTCTTTTATAAGCTTATCTAAAAGTAGGTGTACAGAAGTATGTGAAGTAATCAGGTATGAGTATAATGGTTAATAACAAATGAATAACAGTTTTATTTAATTATCAAAACCAGTTATTTTATTGATTTCAATTCTTTGATTTTACACTAGGAAGCAGCTGTACTTATTAACAAATCTCCATCATATCTTCAAATTCCTTTCCACATAAGAACACTATGGAAACATTTTTAGACTACAAATGTCTCTTAGATATTAAGAAATTAAATGCAAAAAGAATTAGAAATTGGAAAAAATTATTGCTTTTATTTCACATTTGTTTGCACATTGAAGACCATCTATGGACAATGTTTTTATATGTGATATGGTTTAGAATTCCAGTTATTTCAGTTATTTTATCAATTTATCATTGATAGCTTTCCTGAACACTTCTGATTTTGTAATCCTGAATATTTTTTTCCATGGAATAAACTGTTTTTTGTGTGCATCATATATTGTCTTATAAAATACAATTAAACTTACTGCTATACTTTTATCTCTGTCTGATTATGTTAAATAGAGGTGAGTACAGGCAAATTTAATTTCTGAGAATGTAGAATCTGTGCCAGGAAAAGGATCAACCCCAATATTACACAAAAGAATTTGATACTGGGTCTCAAGAGGAATTAGTTGTGAATTTAAGATGACAACAAGTTGTTTATGCAATAAAGAAACCTGACAGCATTTTCTCATTTAATAATTCAATTGGATTTGGTACTGGATTAGAGAAAGAGGTCTAGATCTTTATATTAGAAATGATAATTCAAAAACAAACCCACATATTAATTGCAAATTGATTTCTAAGACGTTTTCCAAAAACAATTATATGGAAAAAGTAGATCTTTTTTTAAATCAAGAAATTGTGGTAAGACATTTAGATATCTACATGCAAAAGTTAGACTATGATAATATATAGCTTTGTATAAAATGCTCTATATAAATGTTCTCTGTGAAATCAATCCAAAATATAGCAGCAAAATGAATAAAAAATTAAAACTCTGAGAAACCATCAGAATAAATCTTCCTATCAAATTTGGTGATGGTTTCTATGCCAGGACACCAAAGGCATAAAAGGTTAAATAGTTTACATAAAAGTAAAATACCATTGTGCTGAAGTCTTCCTAAAGGAAGGAAAAAAGGCAACCCACTGTATCAGAAAATATTTGAAAACCACATATTTTTTTTAATTGAATCTAGGATGTAAAGGAGATTTTTATAGATAAAATTTAAGTGAAAATTAAATTTAGATATTGAGAGATTAAAGATAAAAATGGGTAATTAATGATATAGAACGTGGTCAAAGTCCATGAAGAGAGATATATACTCTCTATATGATCTCATTTATCATTAGAAAGTTCAAAGGAAAAAATCATGTCTTAATTCATATTACTAGGATGGTAACTTTTTCCATTAAAGAGTGCAAAACTTGTTGGCAAGCCTATGGAGAAACAATGACCCTCAATTTTGACTCAATGCAAAATTATGCAAACATTTTGGAAAACACTGAGCTCTTTCAAAGTTTAAGCATAATTGCAGCAAAATTTAACAAGTTCACTCATAGTATTTTTCCAGTAGAAACAAAAATATGTACAACCCCCCAAAATCAGTATGTAGTACGCGCCTACAGCAACAATTAGTAACAAATTTATTTCCCTTTTTACCTATAAAATAAATATATGATGTAATTTCAATGTTTCCTACAACATTTATATCACATTCTAAATGTTCAAAAATGGCAATTATCTACTTTTTAAAATATAAGCAGAAGCACAGATGAAACAAAAAAGATTTTGGTCAAATGACTTACACGTATAATCCTAGCTACTCAGGAGCTAAGATCTAAAAGGATTTCAATTAAAAGCCAACCTGGGAAGAAAAATTCCTTGAGCTTCTATCTCCACATAGTTAGCAAAAACCTTCGCTGGTTGCATAGCTCAAGTTATAGACATAAGCCAAGCAAGTGTGAGTTCTGGTCAGGCCCTGAGTTCAAACTCTATAATTATTAAAATAAATAAAACCCCAAAACATCTATAGATAACATTGTTCATAACTATTATTTCTTTTTCTTTTCTTTTTGTCAGTTCTGGGGCTTGAACTAAGGGAATAAGCACTGTTCTTGAACTTTTGTGCCAATAGCTGGCATTCTACAGCTCTGGTTTTACCAGAGTTAGTTGGAAATAAGAGTCTCATGGAGTTTCCTTCCCAGGCTGGCTATGAACCACAATCCTCATATCTCAGACTTCTGTGTAGCTAGAACTACAAGCATCAGCCACTAGTATGCCTGGTTATAACTATCATTTCTAAATTCCTTTTGCAAATAAATATCTTTACATAAGCAAAATTTTCTATTTTTGCTTATTATAAATATTTTTCTTTATATTTTATAATGCATCTATTTGCTTTCTATCATGCCTTCTTATTACCATTTGTTCTTTAGAATATCTTTAATTAGTTGTTCAATAGGGTTTCAATTCAGCTTGCCAATTTATGAGTATAGTGTACCTTTATCAAAAATCACACCTTCCATTATTCTCCCCCTCCTTCTATCTCAATCCTACCCATTTCTTTAAGTTGTTTCATTCAATTTTCACATATATACAATGAATATTTTGACTGTATTTAACCATGTTTCCACTGTCCATTGTCTATCCCTTTTCCCTTTAGCCCTACCCCCTGGCAAAATATGTTTCTGTTTCCTGGTATTAAATTTCTTAAACTGTAAGTTATTTGTTTCTTAAACTGTAAATTCAGAAACTGTAAGTTCATACCTTTTGCCTTCATTAGATGTTCGTCCAAAAAATTTCATGAAACTCTTTCAAGCAAATATTATATATTTAAAATGAAAGAAAATCTACAATTAATGTCTCTTTTTTGGGGGGAGTCCATTGTAGTGACTTTATTTTAACTAAAATCACAACTTTAAGCACAGTGTCTCCTGGCAATTAGAACTTTTAAAATATGAATTTGATTGAAGTCACAAATGCATGTTGGTAGGGCAGTTTTTGGACTGCAGGTGCATGGATTCTGGGGCTTACCAAAAGTCACCAATGTTAGAGCAGCAGAGATAACCTGGGTGTGACTACTTCAAGCCATCAAAAGACTCCACCCTCCTCCTGTGAAGCAGAGCTAAATATAACAGGCAAAAGTAAATGTTAAAAAAAAAAAAGAATGCGGGGCTGGGAAGGTGGCTCAGTGGTAGAGAGCTTGCCTTGCATGCCTGAGGCCCTGGGTTCAATTCCTCAGCATAACATAAGCAAAAAGAAAAAAGCCGGAAGTGGCACTGTGGCTCAAGTGGTAGAGCGCCAGCCTTGAGCTGAAGAGCTGAGAGACAGCGCCCAGGCCTAGAGTTCAGGTCCCACAATTGGACCCCCCCTCCAAAAAAAAAAAAGAATGCACACAGCAAGTACACAAAAATTAAAAGGGAGATTAGTTAAGAGTCACAACTAATATCTTTATGTAAAATCTCTGAAGTTTTGTTATTTCTCCTAATTACAAAGTTTACCAAGTTTATAAAGTGAAGCTATTCAAAAATAAAAATTTTCTGCAACTTGGATTCAAATATAAATAGAAATAACTTTAAGATACAGAGTATACCACTACTAATATCACAACAATGAATTAACTTTAAATCAAACTTCCTGCTAGTCAAGCAAAAGGAAAAATATATTACTTTGTTTGATAGAAAGTAATATACTACATTTTTTGTTATTTTCAAACAATATTTTAGAGCACAAAATATTTTTGAGAATTATTACTAAGTCCTTAGGTAAGGGAAATCTTGTTTCAACAAGTATTTGAATTAGTGTTCTCAAAAGCTAATATGTTAATAATGTGTATTATTCTAGGCATTGTGTATATATTTAATTCATTTTAATCCTCAGAATTCTGTGAAGTTAGAAATATCTTAGTTATCTTATAAAACAAAGACTGGGGCAGAGCATAGCTATGTAAATTGCCCAAGATAATGTATCTGCTCAGTGGCAGACCCAGAATTTAAACACAAAATTCCTAGCTCCACAACATGTGATTCACCAAATGTGGTGGAAATATTTATCTGCAAGTAATTTTAAGTGATATAACAGCAAATAATAATTTCGAAATCTACAATACTTTAAAAATAAAGACTTTATACTTACCTGGTTTTGAAATCCTACTTGCAGAAGTGATTGATTTTTGTAAAGAAACTCCTTGACAGGAATCCTTCATGCATTCAGCTACTACTTACTCGTGTGTATTCAGCAGATAATTCATATCATGGACATTGTTGGTAACTAAAACTTTATAATCCCCAAGTCATAATGTGTGATAGTTTACTTTTCTATCACATGTGAATAACTTCTCCTTGTGCCCCCAGAATTCTAATTAATGAATTGGTACTCCTGACATTTTTGAGCACGTCGCGAAATCAAATTGTAAGGATACAATCAGTGGTACAAATCTGCTTAAGGCATAGCCCATTTTTTTTTAGTTTTTAGAATTATTGATTTGTTTGTTTTCTTTATCTCCAACAATGTCGTAAGCACGGTTTCCTCGTTTCTCCCACAGGGACATAACTGCTGATTTTTGGCTTGCTGTATTTCGCACGCCCCATTCGCTGATTTCGTTGTGTTTTGTTTTCTGTAGTGCAGGCATAGCTGGTCAGAGCGTCAATGATCAGAGGCGCGTGCCCTGCAGTCAGTTGTTGCAACGGAGGCCCCTGGGCACAAAGGGTTCAGAATGGGACCAGTGGCACGAGCCCTAAGATCGTTGCAGCCCCGGTAGGCTCAGAAAACATCCAGCTGGAGCAGGGGGTCAGGCGAGCTGGCCCCCATTCTGTCAGCGCAAATGCCAATTTGTAGACTATGCCGACTGGCTTCTGAAGAGTTTCCTGGCTTCTTCTTTCAAGAAAAGCTAGGAGGCTCATAATTTCTAACGTTTCCAGACACATAATTCCTCGCCTAAGAGCACGCCTCGCTCCAAAAAGCCAAATGACCAAGATTACAAATATCCAACCATCTCTTCAGGTACAACCACTAGGAGCGAAAATGGTGGGGGCGCGTTCATTTGGTTCTTTCATAAGAGAGAGGCATCTCGCTTTTGCATTCCCTGATACTGACTGCACCTTAGCAGCTTTCTATTTTCTGTGCAGAATATAAAGAAAATTATATTTCTGACTCAATCACCACAGTTGACTTCTTTGCTTTTCTATAGTTTCTCATAAAAAGGTTTGAAATAAATAACAACACTGAAGTTTAAAACTACAAACTACTTGTCATAATGTCAGTGAAAAACTTGCACAAACTGATGATGATACAATATGGTTGTATACGATGTAAACGTAGTAAATGTGTATAATCATTCATGATTTTCTTATTTGCACACGTATTCCTTGCATAGAACTATTATATTCATATTTATGTATCAGTTTACTTTGTGAATCCACCTTTTGTAGTGGAGAAAGGGTTTTCTCAAGGAATACAGTATTATTTCAGTTTTAAAATAGTCTAATGTCTGCTTTTTCTCTGTTACTATTAAACAAAACAAAATGAACAAATGGCTGAGTCAATCTTGTATACCTATCTGAAGCAAGTTGCCATGTTTAAAACAGTTTTCTTGTTTACTTGGGGATATTATTCCAGCATAATCAGTACCAGGTACATATTTTGCTTTCCATTTCCATCCATTTACCTATGAGTAAATTAGTCTGCAATAACCAAGTAGAGAAATTCAGTGTTTTGAGATACAAATCTATGGTTTCCATGGTTCCAGTGACCATGAATCCAAAAATCATGGTGTTGGCAGGATTAGCTCTTCCAAAAGTCCCTTAAGGAGAATATGGAACTTCCCTCTCAGCTTCTGGTGGGTATTCACAATCTTTGGTGTTCTTGGTTTAGAGACTCTTTATTACAGTAACTGCTTGTTTTCATGTCTGTTTTTGCTTTGAATTAGAAAGCCATTGACAGATGGCTGATGAATAATCTCTCCAATGTTTCTAGTTTCAAAATTGTTTTATTAGCATACATTAGTTGTGCAACCTATATTGAAATACATAGTTTGTATTCTTCATGTAGGAAATACTTGTTCTCATTTGTTTGGTTGGAGATGCTGGCCAAATGCCTTACCACTGAGCCACACCCAGTCCTCAAATAAAAAGAAGGGAATGTCACTGGAGTACGGACCTTCTAATTTTTTTCTAAACTCACCTTAATTTAATAACATTTACCAAGACCCTATTCCAACATGGTTACATTCACAGGTGGTAGGTTTAGAATTGAATATATTTTGAGATAGGTAACAAGTCATTAGTAGACAAACTTAGTAGCTTCCATATGGGAAAAATTTCCTCTTGCTCATATATCCTTTCCCCAGCAATACATTGTGTACTTACTGCCTTTTATAGTAAAATATCTGGAGTATTTCTATATTCATACTTACTGTTTCCACTTTTACTCTGCCAATTCTCTTCTGAGTTATGTCAGGTAGGCATTCACCTCTAATACCGTTGATAAAACTATTCCAGTCTTGCAGATCACAGGTGCCCAGCTTCTATGTTACTAAACCTAGCTGTCAGTGCTTCATTCTCCTGCTACCTTACATAATATTTGTCACAGTTCTCCTGTCAATCTTCTGTGATCCGCTCTTCATTTTGCTTTCTATATGTCTACTCTTGTCTCTAACTTTGTGCCATGAGCTACTCATGGAAGTCTTGTTTCTTGGTATATTTAATGAAATTTTTTGACAATATAATCTCTTCAACATTTTTCTGATGCTTTGTTTTGTTAATTTCATCTGAGTATCTGCATTATTTTCTTATTAACTAAAACATCTAGTCACAATTACAATAAGAAAAAATAAATTTTCAGAGGGGAATTAGGCATAAATTGTTTTTTTTAATGTGGATGACTGAGAAGATAGGATCTGACTATATCAGGAGCTTATATTGAGTTACTATCTGAGGTCCTCCTGCCTGGGTATAAGAGTGTTAAAATTGAAGGTGTGAAACACTATAACCATCTTTAAGTTTTGTAATGCATACACTTACTATTATAATAAAATTTTCAAAAGAGAATTTTATTCTGCCTTAAGATGAAATTTTAATAATATTAGCACCAAATTATCTTTTTAAAAAACTTTTCTTATACTATGATTTAAAACTAATGCTTTCAACTAATTTTACAGTGTTCCTTTGAAACAAAGAAGACAATTGAACAGTTCTCAGATGAAGTAAAAGTTTTCAGTGATATCAGAGGATATTTGCTAGGTTATTCACAATTAAGTTCGTAACTGTATTAGGAGGATATTATTATATCTTTGAACACTTTAGTATTTTAACAAATTTTAATAAAAATGTAAAAGAATTTGTTAATATATTCCTTCATAATTAAGAAACATTACTATCTTAGAAAGAATGATGTCCGTAGTTGGGCTTATGAACTAACTATATTGTTGGTGGGATTGTGAACTTGTTCAACCACTTTGGAAAGCAGTATGGAGGTTCCTCAAAAGACTCCACCTAGAGCTCCCCTACCCAGCAATCCCTCTTTTGGGCATTTACCCAAACGATCACAAACAGGGCTATACTAAAGCTGCCAGCACAAATATGTTTATCACATCATTATTTACCATAGCTAAGATATGGAACCAAACCAGATGCCCCTCAGTAGGTGAATGGATCAAGAAAAGGTGATATATATATATATATATATATATATATATGATATATTATATATTCCATTATATATATATCATGGAATTCTATCAAGAAAAGGTGATATTATATATATTATATATTCCATTATATATGTATATATAATGGAATTCTATGCCTCCATCAGTAAGAATGACATTGCCCCATTTGCTAGGAAATGGAAAGACTCAAAAGATTGTATTAAGTGAAGTAAGCCAGGCCCAAGGAAACATAGGTCCCATGGTTTCTTTTATTTGTAATAACTAGTATATGTCTAGAACAAGCAGAAAAGGTTCACAAGCTACGTACATATGACCACATATGATACAAATGTAAAATCTATCTTTGCTAGGGTTTTTTCTGTGAAATATCAACCAAGATACATTTTGAGAAAAAAGAAGCTGACTACTCAAACATCTAATACCATCAGTTTCATATAGCTTATGAATAAATTAAAAAAATCTTAAAGAACAATTTTGTCAATAGAAACATATTCACCAGGTAGCTTCAAGTCTACCGCCTTTGGATTTGGTTGACTGCACATAGGTGACATTGACTTGATCCAAAAAGTATCTATAATGACCAGACTTCATATTGAGCAATGTATAATGAATATACTTTTGCTGATGTGGTCATGCTATTTTAGGCTACTTAGGGAAGGCTTTGAAAACCAATTTGTCTAGAATTCAGTGTTTGCTCTGGTACTTAATAACTGAGCAACCACTTTGCACTCTCAGATTTTCTATCTGTAAAGTAGGAATAAAAATCCTAGGTCATAAAAATTTAAGGAAGGTAGAGTACAATAATACTTGTAACATATTAAACCATACTACACAATTTAGAAGTGGGAATATTAAGCACCAAATATTTTTATTTACTTTGGCAAAAGAAAATATTAAGTGAGATATTTAGTGAAAAATATTTCAGGGGAAATCTTGTTGAATGACAGCATTTTGGGAAGTGAAGGATTCATTAATCCTATGAAAGGTAATAAAGAAGATGGAGAGATATTCACAAGTCAATTACCAGAAAGGCGTAAGTTAAAAACCCATTAGCTATGCACAGACATATCAAATCTGCAGTCATTCTCCTCTCTGCATTTCCCCAGCAAGGAACTAAGTGCATCTGGAGGACAAGTTGTATTCATCAATAACAATGTATCCCTAGTAAACGGTTACGGTAATAAAAACAAGATATAGATTTAATTAGAATGCTTTAAATTTTTGTTATGTAAATAGTGGAAGATTTTCTCTAAATCAATGTTTATCCACAGGCAGGAATTTTTATGTGGAATTTATAAGCTACCTGGATAACAAAATGAAGCCGACAAAACACATTTCAACTCCTAGTCACGCTTTGGCAAGTGCTCCAGAAGTGCCTTATATGAAACAACTACTCAATTTATCATTGTCACCTAAAGCAAGGGAAACACATGGTGCAAAATTAATACATCATAAAGCTGAACCAATGGTCATAAAATCACCACCAACAGGAGAAAACAGTATGCGGTATGCTTTGCCCATTCCATCCATTCAGACAAAGAGATTAATAGCAGGAGATGAAAAGATCAAAGAAATTATCAAACACCTCATCGTGGTAAGAAATTTCCTAGTCTGTATTGGTAGGTGTTGCCACAATGGTCTCCATGTTTGATGATCTACTAGTGGGTTACACAATATTCAACACATAAAAATGACAAGATTTGTTATAGAAGGCATGTGGATGGAAGTCTGGAAAAATCCAACTCTGAAGTTATAAGAGGTTTCTTCCTTTGAGTACCAGACAACATGCTTGCTTCCTCTGCCAACAAATCTTGACAACATAAGTAAAATGTTTATCAGAGGAAATTAATACCCTACTGCTTAGAATTTACTTGTGAGATGGTCAGGAGGTAACCTCTGCCTTGCACATACAAAATTCCAACCTCTCACTAGGAAAGCTAACACTGGCACAATTGGTTTTATATTTACATTTCGTGGCTAATTTTAAACTACTGATGCAATTAATTTGCTTTGCATTTTTATAGGTGGTATCAAGGTTGGAAGAAACTTATGGATTTGATTTTGAAAATGTAAAGAGTAAAAAAGCTGACTCTAAGCAGGAAGACTTATTTAACTCTGTAAGTATATATGAAACAGTGATTAACATTGGAAAGAGTTAATATTTGCTTTTGGAATCCATAGGCTTTTTCATAGATAATCCCTTGTCCATGTAAATGATCTTCTAGGAAACTTGATATTAGTGTATTAATTTCACCTATTAGGCCAATCCCTATTCTAAAATTTTAATAAGGCATACCTGTGTCTTGAATCTACTCCCCCCCACCTCAATCTTTAACTCAGGGAATTGTACTTGCTTGACTTTCTAGTTTACACCAAATGCACTACCAGTTGTGCTACACCTCCATACTTCCTGTTAGCTGGTTAATTGGAGATGAAGTCCCCTGAACTTTTCTGAATTCAGACTACAATTCTCTAATAATCATCATTATGAGAAACTAGAATTACATGTGTAAGCCTTTATCATCTGAATTATATCCATATAGTAAACATTTTCAAATAACTGAATTTTTAAAAATAATCATCTTCTATTTCACCTCAATCACTAATTGACAAGTTGACATCCTTTGATCATTGCATCTAGTAACTGTTACATAATTTGAATCTCTGGCCCAATCCTCCAAATTTCCTACTCGGTCTGATATTAGGACTCCAGAGAATATATATGAGCTCATTACAATTTGCTATTTTGGGTCCTACACAACAAACCAAAATGTTTTGAAAATGTAACCAAGAAATATGCAACAGACTAATATTCACATGTTTTGAAATTAAACTTACTTTTCTATTTTGTTATTTTTTGAAAGGTTGGAAATTTGAAATCATTCATGACATATTGTTCAGAATTTACAACTCAGCTAGAACAATCATGTAAAGAAGAGCGTTCTGTATGTATTCTGTATAAAATGCTAAGAGCAAACTATTAAAACTTGTATTTGTTACTGAAAATTTAATGTCATGTCAATCAATAATATTAGCCTGTATTCAAACATTTAAATAATCACAAAATATTTAAAGTATAATTTTTAAGTTAGTCTTCACATAGTCATTTAGATCTTTGAATTTTTCATAGCATTGATGGTAACATGTACTTTCAGCTGAAAAATTATTGCTTTATTTTGGTTTTTAAAAATGTATTTATATCTGGATGCTGATGGCTCATACCTGTAATTCTAGCTGTAAGTGGAGCTGAGATTTGAGGATTGCAGTTCAAAGCCAACCTGGTCAAGAAAATCTGTGAGACTCTTATCTCCAATAAATTACCAACAATGGCAAAAGTGAAGCTGTAGCTCAAAAGTGGTATATACCTAGTTCTGAGCAAAAGAAGCTCAGGGACAGCACCCAGGTCCTGAGTTCAAGCCCCAGGACTAGCAAAACAGAAAATAAGAGATTTTATATTATAAATATGTTTTAATTAATGACAGTTGACATTAAAATAAAAGTAGACAAAAGGGTATAAAAATCAGTAGAGTACTATTTCCAAAGTATATAACTGCTATTAAATATCTTGTAATTAACTCTGATTTGAAAAACAGACCATGATCTCATTTCCTTTTGAAAATTTGTGTGTTTCCCTAATGGACTGGTTGAAGCTAATGTTATTACTAAGTTTTGAAATTTTGCTAGAAAAATACATTATTTCCAAATAAGATTTAACATTCCTTTATACTATTGTTTTATCAACAACATATTGTGTATTTACTTATAAAAATCCCTGACAAAGATTCACTAATTTATATTGGCCTTAGCTGATCTTTATCTTCTTTGTTCTTTAATTATGTAGTGTCAATTATTCTCAATTCTTTCTGATCATTTTATCTTCATAATTAAGCTCTGTTTTTGTTTTGTTTTTATCTTGGGTGATGCTTTGCTGCTATACATGTTTACATGTTTTATTAATTTTGTTTGGGAGGGCTTTCCACAAAATGTTCTTTCCTTTTAATAAGAAATAAATTTATTTAAATTCACCAACCCAACCAATGTGTTCTTTTCTAACCTGAACTTTATGCCTTGATCTTTCTCCATTTGTTTGTTGGGATGGTGGTCTATGATTTGAGATATGCCTCCAGTGTTCCCTTTTTTTTGGGGGGGGGTCCGGTTGTGGGGCCTGAACTCTGGGCCTGGGCGCTGTCCTTCAGCTCTTCAGCTCAAGGCTAGCTCTACCACTTGAGCCACAGCGCCACTTCCGGCTTTTTTCTTTTTTGCTTCTATGGTGCTGAGGAATCGAACCCAGGGCCTCAGGCTTGCAAGGCAAGCGCGCTACCACTGAGCCACCTTCCCAGCCCCAATCCAGTCTTCCCTTTTGCTGTTATTTCGGAGAGGGAGTCTCACGAGACAGCTTTTGATCCATGATCCTCTTGATTTCAGCTTTCTAGGTAGTGAGCATTATTGGTCTGAGCCACGAATGCACAGGGACAATACATTCCTTTGATACTATATTTTGTACTGATGGTTGTATTTGCCAACTTGTAAAATTTGAATGGTTTTAAAATGTGTTTATTATTTTAAACGTCCACATTTGGTCCCAATATTATAATCATTACTTTTATGCTATAGTAAATTAATAACTACAGCATTGTGTAAGTTTTCTGCCCCACAAAGTCTTGGTAAGCCACTTAAGTCTGCAAGGACTTTGGCTATCTGCAGTCCAGTGGGGGAGGGTGTAGGAATAAGGTAGTCCAGGCTCCTTATGTGGGGGGCAGTACTTTTCTATTATTTAGTGGCTGCACAAAGAAGTTACAATTTCATATGTCTGGTTATGAGTACATTTTTGTGTTGCAAAACTTGGATTTCAATTCTTGAATTTGGACTATCTGGCAATTAATGCATCACTTGAGCCACAACCATCATTGTTTATTTTAGTATTTTTTCAGATGAGATTTTATGTATTTTTGAGGATTGATAGATCTCAAACCATGCTCCTCCTGTCTTTGCTTCCTGCCTACATGGCATTATAGGCCTGGTCCCCACTTCTGGCTTGGGTTTTGAGATAAAAATCTCACTAATTTACTAAGCTGGCATTAAACAACAATCTAAAATTCTTATATCTCTGCCTGGTACTAAAAACCAGGATTAAACACATAGCCGTTACTGTGAACTATTTTTAATTTTTAGTATAGCTAAAAATTGAACACATGAACAGTTCTATTGTGATATTTCTTTATATGCACATATGCAATTTTATTATATGCCTTATTACTTATATTACTTATTACTCCCTTGTCTCTACCTCTACTCTTTAATCTTCTTGCAAATTTCTTTAAATATAACCTATTGCATCATTTTACCAAGTATCACTGTATCAAGTTATCAACATGAACACCGTAAATATGTACATATGTCAGTTAAAAGTAAAACATTAAAAAAGAATAAAAATCCTGGACAGATACCTCACCAAAAAATGTATACAGTTTCTAAAAATATGCACCACATTATAAAGAAAATTAAAGAGTAGTAAGATACCACTACTTACCTAATAAAATGGCCAAAATCAAACCATTGATGATAAATAGTAGTCCTGTACATGGAACAACAAGAATTTTCATTTTTTGTTTGCTCTTTTTTTTTTCTTGTCGGTTGTGGGGCTTGAACTCTGGGCCTGGCACTGTCCCTCAGCTCTTCAGCTCAAGGCAAGCACTCTACCACTTGAACCACAGTGCCACTTCCAGTTTTCTGGTGGTTTATTGGAGATAATAATCTCATGGACTTTCCTGCCGAGGCTGGCTTTGAAAGTCAATCCTCAGATCTCAGCCTTCAGAGTTGCTAGGATTTCATGTGTGAGCACTGGTGCCCAGCTTTCATTAATTTTTTATGGAAATATAAGGTGATAAAACAATTACTGTCAAGTAGTAATATAATATTTAATATCTTGATATGTTAATCTCTTTAGCATGAATAAAATTATATTGAAAATGTAAAGGTAATTTGTTTCCTATTAAAATTAATATTTAAAATAGAATAAAATGCTCTTTGAAAAATGTATTTAAATTTTATTTATTATTTATGGTTGGAAAAATAGAACATGATATTTGTAAATTCTTTTGGGGCCTCTTAATGGAGATGCATATAAGATAGAAAATTATTTTTTATTCTAAGGTTTTAGGTTGCCTATGTAAGGTGAAATAAGACAGTTTTTAAATACAAATAAATAGAAATATAATATAGTTTAGCAATGAGTAGTTTAAAAAATTTTTTTTATTGTGAAAATACTGTACAGAGGGGTTACAATTACATGGGCCAGATAAGGAGGACATTTCTTATCAAGCATTGTAGCCTCCTCCTTTGTTTCCCCTTCCCATCCCTTCCCATCCTCCCCTCGCCCTCCCACCCAATCCTCCCCCCCAAAGTTGTAAAGTTTGTTTTCGACATAAAGACTTGTACTTCTCATTGTTGCAATAGGTCCACCTGTATCCCTATTTAAACGACTTGTTTTTCCCATTCCCCTCCACAAATTATACCGACATCAAATAGTGAAAGCAGGGGTTATACTTTGGGGGAGGGACATACAAAGCAACAAAGAAATTAAGTGAAGTAAGCCAGGCCCAAAGAAACATAGGTCCCATGGTTTCCCTTATTAGCAATGAGTAGTTTTATGGCTGAAAGTTATAAGATAAATTAAACATTGAAATATATTACAAAGAATTATTTTTAAATATACTAATTAAAACTTTATTTTTCAGATTTTGCGCGCTCTTTTCAAGGTATGTTCTATGTATTGTAGAATAATCTTATTAAAAGTTAATAGATTAATACAAATTAACAAAGCAAAGTTTCCCATTTTGAGGCAATGACAGAATTTGCACATTTGCTGCTTTATAAATTTTTAAAATATCCAGTTTTATGTTGCATTATCCCTGTTCTGAGCCCTAAGTGTTGCTTGAAAAGGGACTGATCCTTGACAAATTATGGAGCACAGAGAATTGTATATACATATTCATTTCAATGAAAAAGTTTAGCTTGTCATTTAATTTTACTGTAAGTAACTCTTTTTATTTTTTATTTTTTAAAAAGTGGTTTCAACAACAAGTCAATCACATGGAGGAGGTAAATATTTGTTTCTTGATCATTAATTGTTTTTCCATTCATTTCAAAACTAATTTGCAGTATATGTAAATTATTTTTTAATTAATAACTGCCAGATATAAAGTAATTTTTTACTGTGTAAGAGAAGTAATTAGTGGATGGAACAATGTATTTCTCAATGATTTAAATGATATATTCCCACATAAATTTTGTATATTTTTAGCTTAACTGACACATTCTTTCTCTTAAAATTGAATATCAAATATTTAGCTATATTTCCTAATTTGCATAAAAAGTGACAAGGATTTATTAACTTCCAAATTTCTCCTATATTTAAAATCATAAGCAAAAGTCCAAATTGTATATATTTTTCTAAATTTGCCATGTATTTGTGAGTTTCAAGTACTTTAATACCAGTTTGAAAACTACTGGTTTCTGACTTATTCTATTTTAGAAAAGGTTTTCTATATCCTTCTAACACAAAAGGCAATTTTCAAGTTAGCTTTAGTGATTTATAGAATTATTCTATAGAACTTTTTTTCTCATTTATTCCAATTAAACACACTTTAAAAGCCCTGGCTTATTAAAGAAATGAAACTCATTTATTTTGAATATAAATAGAAAAGTAAGAAATAAATGGTGAGTCTTATTACTTTATATCTGGCTCCAGAGTGGAAGAGCTTCATGGTATATAGGCACTTTACTTTAGAACACGGATAGCTGATACTGGGAAGATGTGTGTGTGTGTGTGTGTGTGTGTGTTTTTAATGTGCCATACTGGTTAGTGTCTTTGCAGAGAAGTAGGATTGAGGGAAGAATTTTCTGTACTCTTGTAAACACTATTCTTTATAATTACAAAGAAATT